ATGAGGAAGAAGAAAAATCCACAGTAACAGACACATCATTACAAGTTCTGGATGCATCTCAAAAGCAATGCATTAACCCACAAGAAGCTAAACAAAAATGAAAGTTGACTCTCCCTAAATGCTACTTCTCGTTCTCTCGAGTAAAACTAAAAAGCCGTCTCCTTGCATGCAGCCCTGAGTCACTTCAAGGCCTCGCTCACCCCTTTGCAGCCCTTTGGGCGGCTTTTGGGTTGGGACAGGAGGGTGGACCAGGCTTTCCTAGCTCAGGTAACGGTGTCAGGGTAGAGAGGGTGTCCCATCCTGCTTCTGTCAGACCAGCTGCTTCGGGCTGGACTCTGAGGAGACAGTTTACACCACCCGGAGCAGCACACCCTTAGTGGTCCACATCAGTCCAAACTAAGATGGACTGGTGAGTAGATCCCTGTAGACGTCGTCAGAACGGAGCACAGCACAGTGAGCTCCCCTGGCTGGGCACTTCCTCCTCCATGCCATCAGTTTTCAATACTCTTGTCAGAGAATCTGCATTGCAGAAAGTTGAGAAGACCTCTTTAAGTCCAGGGTCTAAAAAGGCCACAGTCTTTTTTAAACCATTTAGCTGGGGACAAGCAAACAACTTTTAATTTGTTAAAAACCAGGGTCCAAAGGTGCTCCTTTAGAGTGACCAGACTAAGAGCTCGAACTCGGGGGGTCCCCCTGTCTGGTTTGAGTCCCACCTCTTCCCTCCCCAGCTGCAGAACCACAGCATGTCATTTAATTCAGCAGGGTCAGGTTCCTGGTTTACAAGTTGGAAATAAGCCTCAGAAAAAAATCACCATAAGGGTTAAGTAAACTCAGGTGAAATGATTAACTTAGAGGCCTAGAAACTGGCATCCATTTAATTGAGTGAGCTGATCATCATCAGTGTTATAATGCTTGTTACGAAAATTTCCATCATTATCTAATCATACTTAATTGAGTTCATTAACAAAAGAAAACAAAACGGAGCTGAGCTGGAGATCTAGTCCAGCAGTTGAGCACTTGCCTAGCTGGCATTCCTGGGTTCAATCCTAGTACCACCACCAACCACCACCACCACCACCACCACCAAAAGCCACACTCAGAAGGAGAGTACTTGGGTTGACTTGTATCATTTTACACTCCGGCATCATACATAAGTTTCCACATTTGACAAGTAAAATGGAAGCACACCCATAGTTTAACTGTATTTTTTCTCATACTCAAGTCTAGAGCTTTTTTTTTTTTTTTTTTTTTTTTTTCTATTTTCACTCTGGGTCTGACTTTCTGCTCGGTTTTCTGAAAGGATTCATTGAAAACCCCACATTGGCTGGAAGACTGCCGCCACTCACCTTCCCGACAGCAAGTGTGGGAGATGACTGTGGCATCCATTCGGTCTCAGTTTGCGAACACACAAACACTCCATTGTACTGCAAAGGGCAAAGGCTCTCTCGGTGATCTAAAGGCACACTGTTCGTGCTCCTGGAGTCTCTGCTCTACCTTTAGCTCAGTTCTGTTACATTTCCTACCCTCCACAACAAACACCTCTCAATTTATTATGGTGACTCTCCCAAGGAGTCCCAGTTACTAATTTTTAAACATAACACGGCACAACTGAGTTAGTCTTCTGTCTTACCTCAGCTGGCCAGAACAAACACCTCAGACTGGCTGACCCAAGCAACAGGAATTTATTTTCTCTTATTTCTAGCGGCTGAGGGGTCCCCAAGACCAAGGTCTCGGCTACATTGCTCCTAGCAAGAATCTTTTCCCGGACTCAAGATGGCCCCTTTCTCGGGTCCCTCACAAGGCTGGGCTACAGCTCGGGTATTTCTTCCTCTTCCTCTAAAATCGGTTTGGAAAATTAGGGTCTCATCTTTATGACTTAGCCTAATTGTTTGATTCCTCACAGGCCTTAGCTGCAGAGTTAGGGCTTCGATATTTAAATTTGGGATGACATAAACATTCAGCCGACAGAAGTCTTCTAACCATACAAAAATAAAACTTAAATTCAAACCCATAATGGTTATAGTTACATTCCATTTTCTTCTATTCATATATAGAAAACTGCCAAGTAACTGGGCATGGTGGCACATGCCTGTACCCTAAGTACTCAAGGCAGAGGCAGGAGAATTGCTGCAACTTCAGGGACAGCCTGGGATACACAGCAAGTTCCAGATCAGCCAGGGAAACAGAGTAAAACCTTGTCTCAAAAAATATATGTATATAAAATATACATATTATATATAATATATATTTGCATATATTATGTATATGTAATAGCTACAATTTAGTTTTTTAACTGACTGAAATTTTAAATACATAGTAAGTTACCAAACTCACCTGGGTTCAATTCCCAGCACCCACATAAAATATAAATAAATAAATCTTTAGACTAACAGGTCCACATTTCTCTTGAGACACAATATACATAACACACGGGAAAGGAACTTTTAAAAGGGCTGATCACCTCGATAAAGAATTCCATCTGTTTAAACAGATCCCGGGTGGGGACCTGACTTCTAAATGGCATGTCTGCGTAAGTATCCAAGCATCACACTGCTCCCATAATCACGCCAGTAGCAGCCATTTCTCAGAAAACCAGACAAGTTCCACACCATCCCTAGAAAAATAAGACTGCAAAAACTCGTGGAGCCTAAGATTCTGAAACCCTTACACTTGACAAGTGTCCATGCCAAGGGAAGGGTAATGCTTGCCAGGCCTGGCAGCTCAGTGGTGCCAGAATGAAACCAGAACACAGGGCCCCTACCTAACTACAGGCCAGGGTGAGCACAGCTTTATGCAGCATCAAGTCCCAAGTGCTCCAAACATCAAAGCAGGAAGGGAGTGCTCCAGCCCCTGGCAAGGACCAAGAGCCCCATAGGCTGCAGCAAGGAGGAAACCGAACGTGGACCTCCTCTCCCTGGAGACCCCCAATGGTGACAGTATAGAAAACAAGGACCAGTGCACCCCCACACTCTAGCTTCGCTCCTCCTAAATGATGAACACTCGACGAGGACACATTTCTCTGTTCATTCAGATGCCCTGGAGATGGAAATGAGTGGCAAATTCATCTTCTCCCACATCATCCTCCGGGGTCTGCTCCTGCATACTCCTGACCCTGACACTAAGAATCTAAACAGCACATGTTCAAGCCTCGACGGCTTCTCACACAGCAGTTTTGAGGCAGCATGGGCAAATCAATCGTGAAAAAGCTGAGTTGTGGTGCAGTAAAGAGGTCCTCCAGACCCCAGCTGGTTTTATAGGCTCTGTAAAGCATTCTCACATGTGGGGACACATCACTTTAGAGGCACATTTTTTTTTTTTAACATTCAATAGTAGTCACTATTTTTATGAGGGATCCATCTGACATGTCTTTAATGTGCTCAAGGCTGTACCTGAAGAAATAAAAGGCAGCCCCGACGGATTGCTCTCGGCCCACGGGGGCGACTAAACAGGCTTTTCGTCTTCGTCTACGAAACGGATGAATTTCGCACTTGCTGTTCCGGCTCACAACAGAGCGATCTGTACAGCTGCCAGGTTTAGTAAGGCCCTTAACAGCCACTCTCGGCGCTCTCAAATTTCAGCCTAATCTGACTAGAACTAGAACTTCTAAAAGCCAAGCCAAGGTAAACTAAAGTTCATATTAGAATATTTTAGTTGCTTTTCCTACCCCTGTAACATCTTTCGGGAAAATTCAAGGGGGAAAAATCTTTTCATCTGTGATGGGAGTGTTTGTGAACCTTCAAAAAAAACACTATAGCAGGCTGGAGAGATGGCTCAGAGGATAAGAGCACTGGCTGTTCTGAGGTCCCGAGTTCAATTCCCAGCAACCACGTGGTGGCCCGCAACCATCCATAATGACATCTGGTGCCCTCTTCTGGCCTGCAGGTGTACACGCAGGCAGAATTTTGTATGCATAATAAATAAATCTTTAAAAAAAAAACCACTATAGCATGTTAAGCACATAGCCACTTATTAAAGTTTTATTATATTTATTTAATGTGTGTGAGAGAGAGAACACCCAAGCCAGCGTGTACATGTGGAGGTCAGAGGACAACTTGTGGAAGTTGGTTCTATATCTACTCTGTGCAACCCTCAGATCAAACTCAGGTTATCAAGCTTGGAAGTCAGCACTCCAAGTCATCTTACATGCCCCTCCAATTATTTTTGAGACAAAGTCTTGAGATGTATGTACACACATGCATACACGCACGCATGCATGCACACAATCATCCCAGGCAGGGCTTGAACTTGCAATCCTCCTGCCTTGGCTTTTCAAGTAACAGGATTATACAGGTGCACCACCACACTCAGTTTGTTAAAAAAAAAAAAATTAATAAAATAATTCATGTGTTCCTGTTTGCTTCCTGTAGCTGTGATAAACACCTCGACTACAAGCAACTTGAGGAGGGAAGGTATTTCCTCTTAAACTTCTAGGTCACAGTCCATAACTGGGGAAGTCAAGAGACCATCCATGGGGGAATGCCGCTTACTGGTTTATTCCCAGGTTTCGTGTTCAGGTACCTTTCTTCTCCATCCCAGGCCCACCTGCCTCAGTATGCCCACAGTGTACTGGTTCTTCCCATATCAATTAGCAACCAAGGAAAAGCACCACAGACATGCCCTCAAGCCAATCTGATGAAATCAATTCCATAATTGAGGTTCCTTCTTCCCAGGTGTGTCAAACCGGCAACCAAGATTATCACAATGTCTTAACAGCTAGCCGACTGCACAGTTACAGACACACACACACTCTGAGTTTACGCCCATCAGCCACTGCCCGAAGCAGCTTTGTGCTGCTCAAGGGTGAGGGCTGTGTTGTCTCCCCAGACTCCCCGTCTTTCCCGAGAGGCTGTTGGACCACAAAAAGCTAGCTGCTTTAGTGACATAATGCATTAGTTCTAAAAACCAGATGGTCTTTCTGCTTTCTGCCAAGCCCAATTTTACATGCAAATAATTCATAACGTGTTGCATACAGGAGTGTGGTTGAGTTACTTTATTCTTACCAGAGCTGGACACACGCCTGATCCTCTGAGGCGATAAGGCCCTGTCGGAGCCCAGGGCTCTGCTATCGTTCCTCCTCCTCAGGCAGGAAACAGCAGGCCCCACTTTGGCTTTGAGACCTGGTGTTTTCCTCAGGCTGCAGGAGTCCGGCTTGGAAATGCTCCTTCCCGGGGTGGTGGCAGCTTTGGGTGCAGAACCCTGTGAGAAAAACCAGTTAAGATTTCAGTCTCATCCTGCTTCCGCCACACCATCCCTGTGGTGTCAGCTCTGTGAGAGAGACCGCCTCTGTCTCAGTGGCTGTGCCAGAGAAGTCTTTAGTGACCATTTTTCCTATGAACAATTAAGAAGACTTCAATGTGTCCCAGTCTGTCTTCAGGCACATTAGGAGACTTGATCTCCAGTGCCCACATTGACTTCAGCACTACTGTTCAGTCCTCTGGATAGCAGGCACTCAGCTGGTTCCTCCTAGCTGTCTGGTTATTCCTTTCTTAGGGTCCTATTCTTTGGTACCTTTCGAAGCTAGTCTTCACCAGGGCTTCACCTTGATCTTGTTTTCCTCCCTCACCAGAACTCACCATACATAGCTTGTCTGCTGTTTCCACTGTGACTGATCCACTCAAAATCCACACTTCCAGGCCAACACTTCCCCCTTCAGCTGCCCCTGTGTTTACTTTCTGTCTGTGTCTCTCCACTGAGATCTTTTTACTCAGTGAGAACAACAATGATCCTATTATTGTTGGCATTCACTGACACAGAGCCCTTACACTATGCAAGATACCATCCTAATTTTTTAATTTTTACCTAGCTTACAAAAGAGTGAGTTCATGTCATATAAAATATGGCAGTTGTGCACATGTATAGTTATATTTTATCTATATTTAACCACTCACTACCCTTTATCCATCTTCCCATCCTTTTCCTCCCAAAATTTGCCCTCGACTTTCATGTCCCATGTATGTGTGCATGTGTGTAGACACCTACACATATATACTTAATCTAGCACACAAGACAAAATGTGATTTTTTTGTTATCTCTGTCACCCCTTTTATTCCCCAATTATCCCTTTTTAGTCCTCTTCTCCGTCACAGTCCCTCTATTTTCAAGGTGTGCACATGCACACATGTTTACATGTATACACACATATATACTACACAAAAGACAGATGAATTCTGTGTCTGAAAGAAAGCATGTATGTGTTTCTGACTTATTTAGCTGAACATGATTTCTTAGTTCCATCTATTCTATAAATAACCATTTCACTCATATTTACGGACAAATAAAGTTTCATTGTGTATATAAGCTGTGCATCTGCTGACAGTCATCTAGACTTGTTCTGTACCTAGTTACTGTAAACATGGATGTTTGGGTGTCTCTGTGGTAAGGCTGCCTTCGATTCCTTCAGGTCTAACTCCAGATGTACGGATAGTTCTATGGTGGCTCTCCATTCTAAATTCTAAACATATGTATCAACTAATTGAAATCCATTTAATCACCCAGGAAGATTGTCTGTCATACCCTGTGGTAGTCTGAATGTAATTGGCCCCCATAACCTCAAAGGGAGTGGCCTTGTTGAAGAAGGTGTGGCCTTGTTGGGGCAAGTGTGTCACTGTGGGGCAGGCTCTGAGGTCCCATTGCTCAGGCTACACCTAGTTCAGTTCACTTCCTGTTGTCTGTGGATCAAGATGTCGGACTCTCAGCTCCTTCTCTAGCACCATGTCTGTCTGCACACCACCATAACCTGCCATGATGATAATGGACTAAACCTCTGAACTGCAAGCCACCTCAATTAAATGTTTTTCCTTTATCAGAGTTGTTGTGGTCATGGTGTCTCTTCACAGCAATAGGACCCTAATTAAAACATACCCCCATTTTAAGAAATAACATGAAACACTTTCAAAACTTAAACCAGTTATACCTATCTATCTCATAATTTACACCTTGTCTCCTATTTACATACCCAGGTGCCCATCTTAAACAATGAAAGCTTCTTTTCTTACCTCTTAAGCCCACCTTTCCACCTGCCTTAGTACAAAAGCCAGGCTCATTTCTCAAAAGGATTACTGAAATCATATCCTCAGGGATTGTCTGGTCACACCAGCCTCTGATGCTTCTTGTACTCCCCCCTTCTACAAAAATGTAGAGTCTTTTTCTGTCCCACCAGTTAGCTCGCAAATAAGTACACGGAGACTTATTAATTAGGAAAGCTCAGCCTATAGCTTAGGCTTGTTCCTAACGAGCTCTTATAACTTAAATTAACCCATTTATATTAATTTACATTCTATCACATGCTGTTACCTCTCTTCCATCTTGCACCTCTTATTTCCTCTCCATGTCTCCTGGAGTCTCCTGTGTACCTAGATTCTCCTCCTCTTCCTTTCTCTTCCTGGAAATCCCACCTATACCTGCTGCCCAGCTATGGGGCCATTAAGCTCTCTATTAAACCAATCAGAAGACACATCTTCACAGTGTACAAATATTCTGCCACACAAAAACCTTCCTCAAATTCAACTCTTTTAAAATCACATCAAACCCTTTAGCGTGTGGCAGCTCCTGCAATTATCTTTCCTTGCAGGCCCCATTCCCATCACAACCTCTGCCAGGCCATCCCCTGCATCAGAATACCTTCCTATGGTTCTTCATCTTTAGACTTGGTGTTTCCTCACCATGCCCAGAATGCATGCCCTATAACTTATGGCATGTGGCTGAGTGGCATTTTCGTCAGAAGTTTCCCTTGATAATCTTCCCAATTGCTATCACCCCTTTTCCTGTCCTGTAACACAGCAACCTGATCACTCTTATAACTCAGTAATTATGCCCTGGTGGCTTATTTTCTGATCATCCCACTGGACTTGATAAAACATTTATTTGGACCAAAGCTGTCTTTCTTTATACCCTAATAAGTGCTATCATACATGGAATACACAGTGAGTGCCCAACAAATGTTTCCACTGTAGGGATAAGGAAATGGGAGCCTAGGTCTTACTCTGAGTACAAATTCTAACACTATAAACTAAAATTTCCTCCTTTTACATAGAGAAAAACTGAGCCTCATAGGAAGGTAATTTGGAAGTTAATGATGGAGCCACAAATCTAAAATTATCCAGAATTCATGCTCTGAAGCTCAGGCTTGCATATTCTGTACCATGATCCTCCTTTGTTTAATCATCAATGATTGTTATATATATATACCTACACCAATGGCTGTTGAATCCATACACTGGGTGAGGTCAATACTAATCAAATAGCTAGTATCCAAGGAGAACTGCTACAGATTCATGTTGCCACTGGAATGCCACACGGAATTCTCCTACCTAGAGGAACTTTCGTTTAAGGAGCAAACCAAACTTCTCTTCAACGTACAGGAGTGAACCTTCCATGAATCACTTACTTTACCTTCAGCGCCCACATTCTGAAAGATTTCCAAGTTTGTGAGACATGGGGGACCTGAGTTTGAGCGTCTGTCTGTTTCCCCTACAGCTGTGTGAGTTTTAAATAAACCCTCTGAGGCACTCACTATCATAGATAACAACTGACCCACTGTTGCTGAAGACAATGGGCGTAAGCCCTGAGCATTACTGGGACAATTAAATGACAGGCTGTAAGGGAGGCGCCTGAGCCCGTCTTTCCTTTATGCAACAACTCCCTTTTATCCAGCATGTTATCTTGAACACACAACCTCTGCCATGGGCAGCTACTTTTAACCCTCTATAGCAGTTTAAATCAAATCACTTTGTTGTGGATATCGTTCTATATAAATAAAACACTGATGGCCAGTGACCAGACAGGAAGTGTAGGCGGGACAAGGAGAGAGGAGAATTGGGAAGAAGGGGGAGAGACACTACAGCCACCGTCAGGAGAAGCAGCATGTAAAGATGCCGGTAAGCCACCAGCCACGTGGCAAGATATAGATTTATAAAAATGGATTAATTTAAGATAAAAGAACAGTTAGCAAGAAGCCTGCCACGGCCATACAGTTTATAAGTGATATAAGCGTCTGAGTGATTATTTTATACGTGGATTGTGGGACTGCGGGGCTTGGCGAACCTGGAGAGAAGGCCTCCAGCAACATTACTTCTCCCAGATAAAAAACCTTTCTAAAGTTTCAGGTAAATCCGGATCACCAAACAGCCATAAGGTGTAGGCAGCCTTGAATAAATTAATGTACCTGAAAACTAAGACCAACAGAATACACACATACACACATACATACACACACATACATACACACATACACACACAAATCCTTCTACAGCAGTATCATTGGGTACTGCTAGGTACTACTGAAGTGACTAACAAAAAAAAATGCAATGTGAGTTCACTTGTGTAGCATTCTACAATAAGCCAGCCTGTGGCTATGATCTAGCCTCATCATGCTAGGAAACAATGTGTCAGAGTTGAATTAGGCAAATTGGAGGACACTACTGTATGTAAGACAGGGTCACAGACGCATAGTTCTTTACTCTAGCAGACAAGTACAAGTGCCAGTGATGAGACTGTGGGACAGCCCTTAGAGCCTTACAAAGCATTTCACACCTAATTCTAAGGTCTCACTGCAACATTGCTAAGGTGCAAACTGCTGGAATCCATCTCACCTGAGGATTCCATGGCCTCAACTCAATATCACATCATGGGTCCGCAGCTACCAAATTGGAAATATAAGGAAATAAAACAAAACCTAAACTCTCCAGTTTCAGAACTACACAAGCAATTTATATTCAAGACAAATGTCCAAGAAACTTCATTAGTTTTTCTGGTACTGGGGTTCTACAACTGAGTGAACGTCTCTCATGAAACTAGGCATGCTGGTGCATAACTAATCTTAGCATGAAGGGTGCTAAGCAAGGGGACCTCAAATTCAAGGCCAGCCTGGGCTACTGTATGCTGAATTCAAAGCTATGGTGGCTGGAATGTTGATACCCAAATTCTCCATAAATTAAGGAAAAATATTTTGTTTCTATACATATCTATAAACACCTATTTAAGACTACTGATTACAATGGAGAGTTTATATATTATAATTCTATTTGGTATATTAAAGTTCTAAACAATCAGAGTTTTCTCCATTAGACATAAAAAGAACTTGAAAGATCTGTGTCCTGAAACAATACACAAGCCCATTGGATTAGGAATCTCTACAGCATTCCATCCTTACCAATAGAGTTATTGATAAAGCTAAACATCTGTAAACTGACCCAGGACAAGAGTATCTCCTATGTATATCATCTAGACAATCCCTGCACGACCTGCTATGTATGTAACCTGAAACAAAACAGCCTCGTGTACTTGACCGTACTGTGCTTCATTCCTCCCACACCAGAATCCCCGAAGAAAGGCTGTCTGTCTTTCTCCTCTGCATGCAGATCCATTCCCCGTCCAGAGGACAAGCATTTCAAGGGCGGTCTCTGTGGGGCTGAAAATACACCTAAGTCTGCACTGCCAAAAATAGACCTGAGGGCACATACACAGCCCAACAGCAGCCTGGCAAATGCTAGGAACACTAGTTTGATGATACTATTGTCAAAAACACATGTGCATGTTTACAGAAAAACAACCTTTAGACTGCCATAATCTTCAGGTTTTTTTTTAAGTGACTATGTAGTCCCCCGTCAGGATTTGACTGGTGCTGCTGAAGACATACTGCTTTACTTCCTACATATGGATTTTCTTCATGCGTTAGGAACCAATGCAAATGGTCTACAGGTGACCTTACACATCCACTTTCCCTTCTGGCTGTGGCAAAGTTCCCAGACCTGGGTCACACAGCTGGTCGGAGCAGACTCACAAATCTGTGAGAATAGGTTCTGCCTCCAAGGCTACATCCCAACAAGATACCAGGAGCGATTTTTATATTGATGTGTTTACCAGCAGCACTCCCTAGCCAGTTCTTAAATGTAGTTTGCCTGCTTAGAACCCCTTTGGTTTTTCAAAAAATAAAATAAAATAAAATGTAACCTGACATCAGCTACTTCACTTCAAATACCTAAATATATTAAAGCATTAACTTATTCCTTTAAAACACTATCAAAAGGAACACCCATGTTCAAGAAAATACTGAAACCAAGTTTTTCACTATGCAAGTTTGTTATATTTTTGACTCATGAACACTGGCTGACCAGGGCAAAGAATACCTGCATACAAATTATGAACCAAGTTCAGTGATATTATTAGCAACTAATAGGTAACGTACGTATTGCTGATACACCAGCTTTCTTCACCGCTCCTAGAAGCCTACAGTGGCTTTCACTTACCACAAACAGAGACTTGCATTCAAAAGTCTCATTCATGGCTGCCTTCCCCAGCTCTTGCTTTTCCATTAGATCCCTGCTGTCCTTTTCACCCTTTTCAGGGCTAATCTGATCGATGTGGGAAACATAGGTTACTTCCAAGCACTCTGCACTTTTCATTTTAACTGGGAGAATGCCTTTGATCTTCTGGAAGAACGCAGCGACAGACCCAGTCTCGCTGGCTGCAGGAGAAGAACGCGGCTTGTCAACATCTTCCCGGTTCGATTTCGTGGCAGATGTTGTTCTTGGAACCCTGAGCGAAGCGTTTTTAGAATGAGTTGTAACACGCACGGCCTGACTGGTAATGAGTTTATTAAACTGTTGCTTGTCTGTCTTGTTAATTAGGATTTCTGCTTTTTTGTCTGCAGTAAAGTCAGACCTTGGTGGTCTGTTCACAACTGTCAACTGTTTAGAAGGCACTGGTGGGGTTGAGGAGACCCCAGTAATCTGAGGTTTGGGTGTGCCCTTCGTTGGGGAGGCATCTTTGGGTTGCAACACTGATCTGGATATAACTTTGGCTTTAATGTTCTTGAAGTTTGGTCTTGGATAACTTATAATTTCTGTTTTCCTAACTTTACTGCCTATAGTAGTATTTGTTTTGGTAGCAGATTTTCCCAGATTAGGCTTTGGCATATTCACTGGTGCGCCTTTCAAGTTTGGTGCATTTTTAGCATCTCTTGGACCACTCTCCACATGATTGCACTTCTCTGTTGCTTCAACAGGTGAAAGCGTAAGGCTTACATTGGGGGTTTGCTGAACTGGTGTTGACGTGCAAGCTGTATTATTTGTGCTAATGGTTCTACCATTTGCATCCCAAGCCATTTCATACAATGAACGCCGCTGCCCTGGGACACTTCTTAGGGTCAGCTCTTCAGTACTCTCTTGGATTTCCGAGTCGTCATCGTCGTCATGAGAGGAGGCGATGTGTGGGTCTTTGGTCATAGTGACTTTACACTCAGTGTCCAGGACTCTGGTTTTACTTTTATCAAAAGCTGGCACCGGTAAAGGGTATTCATTATCAACATGACAGTTGGACAGCGTTTCTCTTAGATTTTGGCCCATTTCCTGTTGACCACATGAGCCGTGTGAATGTGTCTCACTGTTTGGTCCATCTTCCGATACACAACAGAACTCCTGTAACACAGACCCATTGGGAACCTCCATCCCATCAGAAACTGGTGTCGCAGCTTGTATCTCTTTTTCTGCAGTGCGTCCTTGCTCTGTCCCATCTGCGTACTCTTTGGTGACATTTCCTAAGGAATACTGACACTGAATTCCAATGTCTGCACTGTCCGTCTGCATCGGCACATCAGCACACACTGTGTAGGTTGTGTTTAGAGCCTCTGATGGTGGGGCTTGAAGGCTTTCCAAGCCCTCTCTATTGTAGTGGATTCCTGTCACGTGCAGCTTCGAGGAATGGGGTGATGTCCAAGTGGAGCAGGACAACAATGCATTTCCACCTTTCACACTCACTGGCGGCAGACCATGTGAAGGCTGACCCTCTTCAATAGAATGGTGGGCTATAAAGGTACGGTTAGCTGTGTCCCCTTTCGTGTCAAATGTCTGTCTTAGCTCCAAAGCTGCAGGGGAGTCTGCACAGTCGAAATCATCATCAGACTTGCACATACAGGACAGGGGGGGCTCAAACCTCTCATCCTGGAGTGACTTGAGGGAATCCAAGTTGCTATGCAGGTTTGGGGGCTTCGCTGGACTGTAAGCAGAAGACTGATGGGTAGGATCACTGGGCATTGCAAACCCAGGCTTACTAACGAAATCACTTGAGGGTTCTGGGTAACCGAGTGCTCCAACACAGCGATGGCTTAAAGACACACTTTCACTGCTATCCACAGCAGGATCCATTTCATAATCCACCACCATGTCATCTGTGTTAGCAGCGTGCCAATCCCCGTGACTAGCTGAAGGATGCTGTGTAGATGGTGACTTTGTGTTGTATTCAGATGTATTCCCGTTTTTATCACTGACAGAAATATAATGCAATTCATCTTCTCTCATATCTGGTTTATCATCATTCATCCTGAATACTAACTTTAAACCTCTGCCATTTTATATTCTCTTCAAAGCCTTTTAAATTTGAGAAGTGAATGAAAAAATGGTCCAGGCCCCTCCCTATCGCTTTCCAGCCCAGTTCCAGGATGGCAGTATTAGATGCTTTGAAGCTGAAATGATTTGTTGTTCCCTGGAAGAAACAAAACATTTAACTTCAATAATGTTAGAAACATTTACAGATCATCCTTCATTTAGATCACTGTTTTCACACCAACAACCCATAACTGTGAACGTGGGAATTCACACTATCATTGGCTAATCTACTATTGCCTTTCAAAGATGTGTGTGTGTGTGTGTGTGTGTGTGTGTGTGTGTGTGTGTGTGTGTGTGTGTGTGAAAAGAAATGGGGCATGATATAGAAACACAGATAAAGTCCCTGTGACCGATGTCACAGATGACATCTGCCTTCCTGTCTCCCAGAGACACTGCAGAGGGAGGGAACTAAGTTTGTGACAAACTTTCCTTCTTGGTCAACTGTGGAACCATTCATCCCAATTTCCCTTGCCAGTTCCTATTTATGTCCACTGTCCCAGCATAATTCATGAACATCCCTTCCAACATCAGAAGGGCCCCTACTCTGTGTTAAGGACAGTGATTACCAGAGAGACTATCCAGGCCCCACAAACAAGTGAAAGAGACTCCAGGAATTTACATTACTCTTTCTCTTTCCTGTTTCATTCCTGTCTTAACCATGTGTCCTTCCAGGCACAGGGGCTGAGGGGCAGGAGTTGATATTAAGAATTGAAGTAACTTCTGTTAGAACAATGTCTCTGTATGCTGAACTGTCTAGCACTTCCAAATAAAATGATACATCGAAGCCAATCCTGTCCACTATGTTCAGCTATACTAGAGACTCAGTTTGGAGACAAGGTCTTTAAGGAGGTAGAAAAGGTCAAATGATAGCATAATCAGGAAGGACTTATCCACCAGAACAGCTGCCCTTCTGAGAAGAGACACCTCAACCCAACCCCACCACTCCCCTTGACCAGGACACAGTAAAAACAAATACACATCATCTTAACAGAAGCATTATCTACAACAGCTGAAGACCAAGGGTGGGAGGGAATCCATGTCCACCAACGGGTAAACAGATTAAAAAAAAAAAAAAAAAAACTTGCCCATTTTATACATCAGAATACTTCTTGAGCACAATAAAGAATGTAAAGTTTCATTAGATACAATGTTACAGTTGGAAAACATTACACTATGAGAAAAAAGTCATCCCAAAGACTACCTATTAAGATACTATTTATACAAAATGTCCAGAACAGGAAAAACTATAGAAGTACAAAGGACAGTAGGGATTTGTGTGGCAAAGGTGAAGAGAAAGCTAACTGGAACGATGGGGTGTTTTTTTTTGGGGGGGGGGCGGAGCAAAGGAGTAATAAAATGTTCTAAATTCATTTTGCTCCTAGTTTCACACTGCCATAAAGACACTAAAATAACTGAATTGTGTAACTATAGTAGCAAACTTTTGAAATGTCCAGAAAGATTTCAAGTCTGGGCTGTGGAGATGGCTAAAAAGGTAAAGGTGTTCGCTACACAATTGGGGTTCAATCCCCAGAACCCATGTTAAGGTGGAAGGAGAGAATGAACTCCACAACGCTGTCATCAGACCTCTGTACACATGCATGGTGCAGAGGAGCACACACGCTCTCGGTCTCTCTCTCTGTATCGCCACGCCCACCCCCCAAAATTTAAAGATTTAAAACTCAGCATTTTTTTCCTCAATAAATTTGAATAATAAATAGTCTAATAAAATTCTAGTTGTTTGAGAAAGGTCCAGATCTTCACGGTGGAACTACAATTTGTTCATGAAGATTTACTGCATCTGACTTTTACCCCTTAATGCTCAGTGTCGGTCACTTGTCATAGTGCTGTGTTCTGAGTAAAATCTGGTGGGGTTGATGACACCAAGTATGTGACCTTTAAAATTCCAAATTAAAGCCGGGCGGTCGTGGCGCACGCCTTTAATCCCAGCACTTGAGAGGCAGAGCCAGGCGGATCTTTGTGAGTTCGAGGACAGCCTGGTCTACAGAGCGAGATCCAGAACAGGCACCAAAACTACAGAGAAACCCTGTCTTGAAAAAAAAAAAATTCCAAATTAAGAGCATATCTTATTTTCCTTCTTTGTAATTTGACTACTCCATATCCAGACACCAGTGACCTGAGTAATAATAATACTAGGGACCATGAAGCACCCAGAGGCTCTGGTGTTTTCACTAACAGGAGTGTGTGTTCCTGATCATGCATCCTGAAGTCATACTGATGCAAAGAAAAGGCTGGAGTGTTTCTCAACAGTGTGTGCGCACATATGTGTGCATGCACATAGACACACAGAGCCTATACTCACCAATTCAGAGGCTTTGAATTCTACATTGAGAGCTACATAAGGTATATATTTCGTGTAAAAATTAGTCAAGTCTTCCACCAGACTGACTAGTCAGTCAGTAAAAGCAATCACTAAAAACAAATGACCATCTAGAATCTTCAAAGTTTTTTTTTTATGAAGTACAAATTAGCATTTTATTTCATTTATTTACTGTGGGGGGGGGGGGCTTAGGGAGGGAGTGTATGCCAGGGCATCCCATGGCAGTCAGAGGACCACTTTTGATAGTTGCTTTTCTCCTTCCACCATAAGGGTCCCTGGTTTCAGAATCAAGTCATCAGGTCTGGTGGCGAGTCATCTTGCTAATCTCACAGGTTAGCATTTTTTTATCTGTTATAAAAAAAACACACTCAAGCAAAAATGTTAAAATCATGAACGTCTATTCATTTTCAGAAGCACCCAATGATAGACCTTTCTGCTTCTCAAAGGGTGATGATCATTTAAGAGAGTGTGGTATAAAAAGTCATTTCAGTGGCTTCTCTGTGGCTGTGATAAAACACTATGACCAAAAACAATTTAAGGAAGAAAGTTGATGGTCGCCGAGGCTCCATCAGGGCAGGGAAGGCATGGCGGTAGGCAGCTGGCGTTGGAAACAAGATAACAGTTCACCACATAGGAAGCAGAGTGACCTGAAAGAGGGGCAGGACATAAACTCTCAATGTTGCCCCTTCCCCAGTGAGGTACTTCCTTCAGCAAGGCTCTGCACCTCCTAAACGTTCAATGACTTCCTTCAAATAGCGCCACCCTGTGGGGACCAAGTGCTCAGACATTTGATCCTGTGGGGGACATCTCTCATTCCAACCATCAGAGATTCAAGAGAACGAGGAGGGGGAGGAGGAGGGGGTCCTGGAGGGGGCAAATAAGAACAAAATACGATACAGATGCATGAAAAATGCCACAATAAAGCCAATTATCTTGTATGCTAACTAGAAAAGAGATAAAAGGAAATGGCTGTCTGAGGAGGGGTTAAAACATGAGGATGATGAATGGAGAGGTGGAAAAAATGTAATAAGCAAATGTGAGCTTTATTAGCATGATTATAAAATTATGTGCCTACATAAACAGAGCCATTAAATTCAATTGATAGAATTTTATTACCTAATCTTTTCCAAAGTGCATAAAAGTATTTTAAAGGATATATACTTAATAAGCGATTCAAATGGTAACATTACGTTATTTTGTAATTGGAGAAATTATGGCACCGGTCTCATGGTGTCACATTGTATTCTTTAAGCTGTTACCAGATTTTTTTGTTTGTTTATTTTGCTTTTGATTTGGTTTAATTTTTCAAGACAGGGTTTCTTTGTGGAACAGTCCTGTCTTAGTACTCACTTTGTAGACCAGGCAGGCCTTGAATCACAGAGATCTATCTGCCTGCCTCTGCCTCCCGAGTGCTGGGATTAAAGGCGTGTGCTGCCACCACCTGGTTCAGCTTTTTCTTTTCTAAAATGGCACTAAATTAAATGTCTTTGCAATCAACTCTTCTGGAAATATTTTCTGGAAATTAAAATGTTAACTCATAGAACAAGGCTACAGTTTAAGACTTGACACGGTTTGTCAACTTTCAGAGTGTGTGTGTGTGTGTGTGTGTGTGTGTTGTCAGTGCTCTTTATAATACATATATTAACATGTAAATAAGAGGCATATATATGATCTGACCTGGGCATTTTGTTTAATCCCATCTCACACTATTTGCTATAGGACACAATGCCTGTGAAGTACCATTACTGAGAAGATAAAACTATGGACAGGAAGGAAATGGGTAGCCATCCTTCCCTCAGGAGGTTGTTAAAAGTGAGAGACAACTCAGTCCATAAAGTGCTCACCTTGCAAGCACAGGAACCTGAGAGTTCAATCCCTAGGGGGTGGCTCTGGGAAGGTAGGTGGAGACAGGAAATCCCTGTTTCTAAATGTCCAGCCAGCTTGGCCTAATAGAAGAGGAGTTCTGCTATGGAATATTCCTTTACACTATGAAAATGTGTCACTGTGATTGGTTTAATAAAGAGCTGAATGACCAATAGCTAGGTGGGAAGAGGTTAGGTGGAACTTCTGGGGACAGAGAGGTCTCGGGGAAGATGAAAGGTGGAGTCACTATTTGGATGCAGAGGAAGCAGGACATGCAAGAGGAGAGGGAAAAAGCCACAAGCCCCATGACAGCACGAAAGTTCATAGAAATGGATTATTTTAGGTTGTAAGAGCTTGTTAGAAACAAGCCTAAACTAAGGCCAATCTTTCAAGGATATCCTCTGGCCTCAAAACACACATGTATGCAGGAATGCTCTTAGTATCAGTCTTAGTATCAGGACCAATTTCACTCCTCCCCTACTTTTAAGAATTATACCTAAATGTCGCTATGTGATAGTCATGTATTCTATGACTTCCTCTCACCTAACTCAATAAGCAAAGTCTTCATATTCCTACAGTTACAATATAACTTGCCTCAATTTTTAAGAAGCCTTAAAGTACTATCTTGGAAGCATTTTTAAAAATTCAAAACAAAGCAGAGAGTTAAAACACAGAGAGAAAAACAAAAATAAAAACAATAAAATTAAAGACCTTGGGGGACAAACCATTCTCACCCTCAGGAGAACTCTGTCAAGTTCTTCCAGGCAACTATCTAGCAGAGCAAAGTGCTGGGATCAAGGTCCCTTTTGAAAGAGCATTCTCAGGAAAGAAAGGTCTTTATTGAGCAGGAGGGGCACAGGACAGAACAAATTCCTCACTCATTACGATTTGGGAAT